CCCCCCGGCTTTGCTCCGCGGGTTCTGCCCTCCTCTCATCCCCAGCCAAGGAAGCCCAGCAGGCTCCCCTAAACCTCCCCCGGGCCCCTGCTCCGTTTCCCAAGTGCTGCTCTCTGCTGGTCCCGCCACACACGAGTCACGTCAAATGGGTCTTTTTGATCTCCACACCCCCCCCGGAGCTGGCACAGCTGGTTGTCTAGAAACCACCTCTTACAACAGCTCTTTGCACCCACAGGTGATGGAGGGGGAGCCCTATTATCACTTCACCCACCGCGGCACCAGGCAGAGGGCCCTGAGCAGGCACTGGGGCTGGAACATGAGGCTGATGAGAGAGCCCAAGGTAGGGAGGAGGTGGGTGCAGGGACTGAGGCCACCACTCGCCAGGCTGGGGCTCCCTGACCCCCCCAGTGCTGCTTCCCACCCAGGTCCTCTGGTTTGAGCAGCAAACCCTGAAGAGGCGCACGAAGAGAAGTGCCAACGTGGTGCCAACAGATCCCTGGTTCCATAAGCAGTGGTACATGGTGAGACTGTGTTGCTTTCTCCTCTAATCCTCCAGCAAATCACCTTCCCGAGGTGTAAACAGGACTAATGCTGACAGTGATGAGGCAGCAGAAGAGCCCTTGAAGGTCACCTGCTGCCTGCTGCCCGGGGGCTGATCAAATTTAATCCCTTTTTCCAGAACAATGACATCAATCCTGATCTAAACATCCTCACTGCCTGGAGCAAAGGGTACACGGGGCTGGGGGTCGTGCTGACCATCCTGGACGACGGGATCGAGAAGGACCACCCGGACCTGGCTGCCAACTACGTAACTCCCAGGGGCTGCAGGAACCAGCAGCTCCAGGGCGGGTTGTGTCCAGGGGAGGGTGGGAGCCCGGGGATTCATCCCACCCTGGGGATGGAGCAGTGGGAGCTCAGCCTCAACGGGGCTGGATCAAAAGGTTTGGTGTCTCCCACCGTGAATTCTCACATCAAGGAAACATTAGAACTTGTACATGCTCAAGCCCCCAGAAGAGCTGTAATTACAGCAAGCTGCAAAGCCAGTAAAGCTGGTAAATCCCCACGTGCTTCCAGGGGAGAGGATGGGTAGATCTTGGTGGTGTTTTTTTTTTTATAAAAACACATTTCCAGCTCCTAACTGCATGGCTGGTGAGGCTCATTGACCCCATGCTGGGCTTTCTCCCAGCCTGGACACCAGCTCCTTTGGTGAAACTCGTTTCCAGCAGTTCCAGATCAACCCCACTGACGTGAAGGGTCCCCCCTGCCCGCCCCAGGCAGGGAGCTCATGGGCAAAGCTGGGTGCTCCGGGCCTCCAGACCCCAGACAAAGCACCAGGAACCTGTGCTGAGCTGTCCCAAACCCTCCAGAGGTGCTTTGCTCACCCAGTGCCTCTCATGCCAACAGGACCCCCTGGCAAGTTACGACTTCAACAGCAACGACCCCGACCCCCAGCCCAGGTACGACGCCAGGGACGAGAACCGGTGAGTCCGACTGTCCAAGGAAACCTCTTCCCTGTGCTGGGTGTTTTGTCTCCCGGGGGGCCGGGACTGTCCTGGGACCCTTGGCCCCTCCTGGAGGACTGATGCCAGCCCTGTTCCTCAGGCACGGGACACGCTGTGCGGGGGTGGTGGCAGCTGCTGCCAACAACCGGGTCTGCGGCGCGGGGGTCGCCTACAACGCCAAGGTGGGAGGTGAGCCAGAGCTGCAGCCCTGCCGTGGGATGAGGGACATGAACCGGCTCTGGATCCCTAGGGAGATGCTCCGGGGGGAGCAAAGGGTGCTGGGTAGCACCTGGGACCTGTGGTGGGGTCAAACCCCCCAAGGTAACACAGTAGGTTTGACCCCCACGGCAGCACCAGGCTCAGACTCTGCTGCGAGTGGGGATAAAACCTGGGAGAGCTCCCCGGGCTTAATTGCAAAGGGCTTAATGAGGGGCTTTGGGCAGCAGCTCGTGGTGGCTGCACAGACCTGTGGGAGCCTGACCTCCTCAGGGCAGCGTAGCCTGGAAGGAGGTTGGGACAGGCAGGGGGTGAGGTGGAGGCTGAGGAGGTACCCCCCAGGCCTTCCCTTCACGGGGTGGGTGCGGGGGGTCCCACCCCCCAGCGCTGGGGCGACCACCCAAGCGCCGCCGCCCTCACCCCGGCCCGGCAGGCGTGCGGATGCTGGACGGGGACATCACGGACGTGGAGGAGGCTCAGGCCCTCAGCCTGCATCCCCAGCACATCCACATCTACAGCGCCAGCTGGGGACCCCAGGACGACGGCAGCACCGTGGACGGGCCGGGCACCTTGGCCACCAAGGCCTTTTACAGGGGGGTCACCCAGGTAAGCTCAGCGACAGCCCCGGGGACGCGGTGTGAGGGACCCCTGCTCACCTTCCCTCCTGCCAGGGACGGGGTGGACTTGGCTCCATCTTCATCTGGGCCTCGGGGAATGGAGGGACCAACTACGACAACTGCAACTGCGACGGGTACGCCAACAGCATCCACACGCTGGCGGTGGGCAGTGCCCTGGCGGGCGGGCGCCGGCCCCGCTACGGCGAGGGCTGCTCTGCCATCCTCACCACCACCTACAGCAGCAGAACCACCAGCAGGGAGCAGATCGTGAGTGTCCTGGGGCAGGCGCCAGTTCCCAGCATGGTGTGGGTTCATCCCAGCCCTCCTGACCTGGGGAGGGAGAGGGGGATTTATCAAAACGTCGGTGTTAGAGCCCCCCCAAAATGTGAGGAGACATTGAAGGTGCAATGACTGACGTTACCCAACTCCAGCCAGCCCTGCCCTCTGCTCAGCAATGATGCTGAGACCCCCCCTCTTCTCCCCAGGTGACCACCGACCTGCACCACGGCTGCACTGACAAGCACATGGGCAGCTCAGCCTCCACCCCACTGGCCACCGGGATCATCGCCCTGGCACTGGAAGCCAAGTAGGTGGTGGCATCTCAGAGGGACAGTCCCCAGGGAGACCCTGGTGCCAGAAACCTGCAGGGACACGGGACTTTGCTAGTAGAGAGGCTGGGGAGTGTGGAGCTGGAACCTCCCCGGGCTCTGGTGGGGCAGGACGGTTCTGGAGAGCAGCCAGAGGCATGAGGAGAATCGTCCTCTGGAGGTCTCTGTTGCTCCCATTTTGGCAGCAGAGGAGGTTGAGGGTGGACCAGCTCAGCCCCGGGCAGCTAACTTGGTGTCACGAGTTAGAAGAGCCAGATCTCGCCCCCTAAAATCCAACCCAAAGCCGCGGCCTCTGTCCCCAAGCCCTGGTTGCTTCCAGCCCGGCGCTGAGCTGGCGGGACCTGCAGCACCTGGTGGTCAGAGCCTCCAGCCCCGGGGCCCTGCGGGCAGAGGACTGGGCTGTGAACGGCGCCGGGCGCCGGGGTGAGCTCAGGGGACCTGCTGCCCCTCAAACCCCTGCCTGGGGTGGGGGTCCCCGCTGCCATCGCCGCGCAGAAGGGCTCACGTGTCCCTCTCTTGGGTGGCACCTGCTTTTCAGTGAGTCACTACTACGGGTACGGGCTCCTGGACGCGGGGCGGCTGGTGGAGATGGCCAAGGCCTGGGCAGGGACCCGGCCCCAGAGGAGCTGCTCGGTCAAGGCTCTTCACGCCCCCCGGTAAGGGACCATGTCCCCTGCTCTGAGCCCTCACGGGGACTTCCTCGTGGCAAAGAGGTGCTGTGCCCGGGGCAGGTGATGCTTCCCAGGGAGCATCTGTGCCACGTGGCTTCTGCTGTCACCCCAGGGCCGGGCAGGACACCCGCGAGGGGGACGAGGTGCCCTCACCCCTGCCTTGTTCCCGGCAGGAACATCGGCTCCAAGCTCACCATCTCCGCTGAGGTCTCCTGCTCCGGGAGCTCCGGGCACATTCTCTCGCTGGAGCACGTCCAGGCCCAGCTCTCCCTGAGCTACAGCCGCAGGGGGGACCTGGAGATCGCTCTGACCAGCCCCATGGGCACCACCTCCACCCTGGTGACCGTGCGGTGAGGAGGCTCTGCCAGCTGCTGGGGAGCAAAGAGCTTGGGGGGGGTCAAAGGGGGCTTCTCTCCCAGCCCCTCCTGGGGCCAAGAGATTCCCCCTGCCACATCTTGGCAGTGTCCCATTGTACCAAGGTGAGGGTGAGTGAGGGGCTGCAGGGGCTGCACCCCTCCCTCCCAGCCCCAGCTCTCCTCTCCTCCAGCCCCTACGACACCAGCCAACAGGGCTACAAGGACTGGACCTTCATGTCCACTCACTTCTGGGATGAGAACCCCAATGGGACCTGGACACTCCGGCTGGAGAATAAGGGTGATGCCTTTAACACAGGTGGGTGCCCAGGGCAGCAGCCCCATTCATGGGGTGTCACCCAGTGCCTGGTCATTCTTCTTCCTCCCCCGACTTGTTGGCTTGTCCCCCTCCTGGGCGTGAGCCCTCTTCTTCTGCAGGGCCATGTTTGTTTGGTTGGAGGGTCTCTCTGGCCAGCACACAGCCAGGGAGGGACATGCCTCACTGCCCTCCGAAGCCCCAGCCCCACACCTTGAAGATCCCAAAGGCTGGAGGGTAGGAAAGCAGCTGCCACCAGCACCAAGTCCCATCCCTCCCACCGCAGGGCTGCTCACCAGCTTCACCCTGCACCTGCATGGCACAGAGGAGGACATGTCTGCCCGGCGCTGGGCCGCGCCACCCGCGCGCTGCCTGCGCAGGGACCCGCAGGGAGCCTGCCAGGGTGAGCCCAGGGCAGGAGGGGACATTGCTCCGGGTGTGCCTACAGCCTGGCTGATGCCACCATCCCCCCGCAGAGTGTGGGGGCTCCCTGTACGCCCACCAGAGCTCCTGCCTCTCCTACTGCCCCCCGCGCTACTACGGCCGGATCCAGGGAGCTGCCACCCGTGTCTGTGCCAGCTGCCACCCCTCCTGCTACACCTGCCAGGGCTCTTCGGCCAACAACTGCTCCTCCTGTCCCCCTGCCCGCACCCTGGACGAGGTCACCCAGTCCTGCTCCCCTGTGCCGGGCTCCCTCCCCCAGGAGGAGATGCAGAGGGACCTTTTCCCTCTCATCTGCAGGACCCTGGTCCCCACAGCCGTCCTGCTCACATACTGTGTGGGCTCTTGCCTCGTGAAAGGTGGCTGCTGCTCCCGGGCTCGGAGGGCAGTGTGACACCAGGGACACACAGGCAGCAGGATCCCAGCCTGGGACACAGCTGCCCTTACCCAGCTTCCAAAATAAACTGGTGGTTTTGCTGTTCTGGGCCTCCCCCTCCAAGGGCTGACGTCCCTTCCCAGCAGTGCCTGAGATGATCCCACCCTGTGTCCAGCTCAGTGCAGCAGCAGGGACACGGGTGGTGGCTTCTGTCCCCATCTGGCTCATCCCTCCACACATCCCAGGGGACCTGAGCTGCTGCTGCAAGGGAGCATTTTCCAGCAGGGCCAGGAGCCCTGTGCCCTTTCCCAGGCACCGAGGGCCGCGAGGAGAAGGAGATGGGACTTCCCTCCAAACAGCTGCAGCCGGGTGACCACAGGCAGCTCCTCCAGCACAAGCTCAGCCACAAGCCCACGCGCCCTGGGCAGAGTGAAAGCGGCCAAACCTCAGGGCAAGTCCCAGATCTCCGTTACTTTTATTCATTAAAAAAAGGGGTGCCAGGGTTGCTGCACCCCCCCATCCATCCCCTCCCCTCCCGCAGCAGGGCCGGGCCCCCCCAGGCCCTGGCTGTCCCAGCAGGGCTGGCAGCAGCAGAGCAGCAGCTGCGCCCCGGCACGCACCGGCAGGGCTGGGCACAGGGAGAGCTGCCAGCTGGGGCCCTCCTGGGGGCACCGGCCCCTGCTGAGCTGGCCTGCCCCAGCCCCCAGCCCCAAACTCACCCCGGAGGTGGTGGTGGCTGTTCCCCCCCCTGCTGTGCCATCCCCGGGCTCAGCCTGTTCACAGAGCCCAGGAGTCTGAGCCAGACCTTTGTCCAGGCGTGTGATCACCCACGGAGCACCCTTGGCTGGACCTTAGAGCACAGGGAGGAGGGAGCTGGGTGTGCACAGGGCCAGGATGGAGCTTTTTGTCCAACAGCAGCTGAGACTGAGGGGTTCTCCCCAGCAAGAGCCCCCAACACCAAGGGAGGGATCTGGGGGAAACAGCTTTGCCAAAACACCTTCCAGCCTGGAGCTGCGGGATGAGTTAGAGCCTGGATGTGCTGGAGCTCAGCACCCCCATGGCAGGGCCAGCCTCACTGGCCCCCCAGAGCCCAGCAGGGAATGGGGTCCCTCGTGCTGCCACAGCCCTGGGGGGTTCTCCATCCTGCTCCCCCAGCTGTGCTGGCCTAGTCCTCAACAGGCAGCCCATGGGGCGGGAACTGCTGCTGGATCTGGGAGCGCACGTCGTCCTGCACCGGGAGAGACACGGGTTGGGTTGGGGGACTCTGCACACAGCAAGGTCTGGAGCAGCTCACACCCCCCGGGAGCCCAGGGTACCCGTCCCCTCCCCTCCCCAGACCCCATCCTCACCACCTGGCCGAGCTGTCCCAGCAGTGGGATGAGGTGCAGCAGCTCTTCGTCCTGCGGGTCCCCCCACCACCTTGACACTGGGATCCAGTTGGCAGCCTGGGGAGAGAGGGAGGGTGCTGGCCATGGAGAAGCCACCACGGCCGTGGTGCTCCTGGGGGTCCAGTGCACATTAACCCCCCTCCTCAAGAGCCATCACTGCTGGTACCTGGGCAGGGAAGCCCTGGATGGTGTGGTCCAGGGCCACTGTCTTGGCCAGGTCCCTGCCCAGGCGGGTCAGATCCTTCCAGTAGCAGCCTCGGGCACAGAGACAGTCCCTCTGGAAGAAGCAGTGCCTGGAGGGGAGGCAGTGCCCAGCAGGACCTGTCCCTGCCACCAGGGATGTCCCTTGGGCGTTACCAAAGCCATCACCTGATCAGCTTCCTCTTGGGGTCCAGCACATCCAGGACCTTCTCAGCATAGCCCTGCTTGGCAGTTGTGAAGATGAAGATCTGGGGGAGCAGGTGAAGGTCCCTGCAGAGGCTGCCCTGGTGTCCCCACCCCCACACAGCAGCACCCCAGAGGCTCCACACAGAGCCTGGGGGGTCTGGGTACCTCGTAGGTCTTGGAAAGGCTCTCCAGGAACTGCTGCACATGGGGACGCAGCTTCACGTGGACCTGGAAGGGACCAGCACCATCAGACAGCCCCAGGAAACCACCAGCACCCAGATCCTGACACCGAGGTGACCCCCAGCAGCAGATCAGCACCCCAACCAGGATCCCAGGGGCTCCAGCAGCAGGGAAGGACACAGGCACAGAGAACACACAGACACTGTGGATCTTCAACAACCCCCCCCCGGGGACCCAGCACTGGGGCACCACCTTGTAGGCATCTCCCAGGAACTCCATGGTGAAGGTGGCTGCAGCCCCTCTCCACCAGCTGCTGAGCACAGAGGAGCAGACCAGGGTCCCGTCCTGCAGGGGGGGATCAGAGTCAGACCCCGGCCCTGGGGCTGCAGCCCCCCCCGACCCCAACCCCAGCCCTCCATCTCACCAGCTCCAGGACCAGGGTGCACCCCGGGGTGCTGCGGGTCTTCCGGGGACCATCCCCACCAGGCACTGGGGCTGCAGGGACCAGCCTGGCCAGAGGGAGGCAGAGGGTCGGTGGTACCACAGGGCCGGGGGGGCTGTGGGGACCCCCACCCACATACTCACAGGCTGGGGGCAGGGGGGTCCTGGCACTCATCCACGGGGAGCCCCGAGAAGTAGGTGCCCTTATAGCAGGGTGGCAATGGGGGAGTCACAGGCTCTGTGGGACAGAGGGGTCCCATCAGCACAGCCTGGGGGGACCCCCCGACAGGGATCGCCCCGGGAGGGGACACACTCACCCCTCGCCCCAGGGCTGGGGGGAGCAGACACCGGCCGGCGATGCTCCCCC